CAGAATTCCCCAGCCAGCCTTGCTGGCTGGGGGATTCTGGGAGTTGAAGTCCACACATCTTCAAGTCGTCAAGGTTGAGAAACATCGCACTGTAACAGCTCTAACAGAAATATTAAGGTTGTTTAATAACTCTACCCCAATCTAGCCCTCCCCAGATATGTTGGACTTCAGGATCCAGGACCCCAGGAAACAAAATCCAGCTTGGAATGTGGTTGAATGCATTCAGAAGTTGTCAGAGAGCAGAAATCCATCTTAACACAAAAAGATTTGGGCTTCTGCTTTCATCCAGTGCTCTAATAAGGATCAACTGCAGGATCTCAGAGCTGTTGGAGAAGGCAGTTGTGAAACAGTTTGCTTTGTCTGAATTATTTTAGTTCAGACATTCCTATCTGCTCTTCGACCTGAACGGTGACAATGTAAGAAGGCAGGACATTGAAGGAAGAGCCTATGGGGAGGGAAGAGGTAAGGAAGACAACCCAGACACAGGTTGCATACAGGGAGTTCCATTTAATGTTTAATTAATGAATATTGATAAATATTTTTAGTTTTAAAAGTATTAATGAATGCTTTTAAATGAAAGGGAAGAACATTGCTGCATTCACGCCACATGCTTCACCAGTTACAATACCTGAATCTATAAACTACTCAAATGGGCCAGTTGCATGATGATAAATAAAAGCAGAAGAAAAACCAAGTTAAAATTAACCAGGCTTAGCATATTGCATTTATTGTGCAAACCCAAAGTGCAGGTTAATAAGGAACTTGGTTAAGCATGTTGTGTGATTGTAGACAGAGGAAGAGAGCTGGGGACAAAAGAGGTGTCATAAAAGGCCTGAAGGTCCCGCCTTTTTGTACCAGCCCCGCCCACTCCTGGCTTTAGCCCCACCCACCCTATGACCCCAAAGAGGGCCTGGAAGGAAAAAAAGTTTGCAATAAACTGTTTGGAGCATTGGGCTTATTTTTAACAGGGGGCCAGGCTAGGCATGCCTCCCGCCAGCTGCTGTGCAGGGAAACGAGGCCAGGAGGTCAGGCGGCAAGCAGAGGTGCTCAAGCCCATCAGGAAGCAGCTCTTGGGGGACAGATCCCATTTCATAGGAAGCAGCTGAAGCTCCCTGGCCTGGAATGCAAAGCCTCGGGGTGGGGCAGGGGAGGGACAGCTGCGGCCGGAGGGTTTCCAGGATGGAAGATGCAAACGCCGAGCTGACTGCTACCGTGAGCCACCTAAATACACAGCCACGGAGAAGCCTTTGTGGGGTGGGGGGCGGGGAGACCTCGCTGGAAAACAAGGCTGAAAGAATGGTACAGAAGGCAAACTCTTGGTCCTGGGGAAATTAATTCAGTCAGATGGATGTAATTGCTGTGTTCCTTTATCAGCCATGGGGGGAAAAGTGGCATTCAATTCTTCGCTTTATAGTGTGTTGACACAACATCTCTGCTGAATGAAGCATTTTACTTATTTGTTTAAACAATTTCTATAACACCCCCCCCCCCCCCCCCCCCC